GGCTATGAGCTAGGAGTTGCAATCAACAGATTTGAAAGTATCAGTTTGGGGGAAGGCAGAGCTTTGCACATATTCGGATCTATATCAAGAAGCCTCATCTCTATGTTTGAGGATTTGCAAATAAGAACACTCAAGTGGATATGAATGGTGGAATACCCCTACTATACAGGCCAGCATGTGAGTGCTGGTTGATTTAAGTTACATTTCTAATAGTGTTAAATGACCCACTGTCTCTTAGTAAACATCTTGACCTACAGTTCTTATTTCCCACTTACCTCTTCTTTTTGTACTGTTCCCTGCTTCCATTAGTATATATAATAGGACTGTGCATGCTGAGAATGGTTCAGAAGCGCTTCTGATTGCAAAAGTCTTAATGAATAACAGAAAAGTAATGTGCTTGTGTGGAGTCTGGAGAACATGCAGATAATTTTCAGAGTGTGCACAGTCTTAATATATAATCTATGCATTTCATTAAGTGAATTGCATAGCCCACAAAACATGTATACTGTAACAGATATGATAGCCTTGTGGCACTATAAAGACTAAAATAATTTATCTACCCATCTGAAACATTTTCTTTATAACTTGGGATGTTTTACATTCGTTTTTAATTCTAGTTGATACCTAGTATTTTGATTACATTTGTTAATTTTGCTTTTCTTAAGTTGGAACTTGAAAAATGGAAGTATTCTCTGTGTGTACCACTTGAACGTAGATTCATTGATTGATTATGTGCCATTAAGTCGGTGTTGATCCTGTCTGATTTCTGGGTGAAAACATGGCAGACTAGCATGTCTCTGCGAAACAGCGGGGATGATGCAGAGACAAAGACCAACAGCCAGACAACATGCCCAAGCTAACGGAGCTTCTCCAGACAAGGAGGAGCCATGAGATCGCCCACATGAGCTCCATGGGGGAGGGGGAGTAGCTTCTCACAAGGAAGTAGATCTGCAAGTAGAGCGCCAGGAGCCGCAGGAGACACCATGCTCACAGCTTCGTGTGAAGCCTGTTTAAAGGACACTGGGTCTGCCTGATCCACTTTCTAAAGCATATTTAAATGGAGCAAACTAAAGCCACCTTGGTTAGCATATCTTCAATCCAGGAAAGATTAAAGTAAAAAGGTGCCAGTTTCAAAGATTTAAAAAGAATTAAATGCAAAAAGCTTACTGGGATTTTGGAATAATAAAGTTAAAAAATGGAGTAAAGGGGCAGTTAAATTTGGAATATTGCCTCATTTAAAGTATTTCTGAATTCAATAAACATAATATATATCTTCATGGGAAAGAAGAATATTTAAATTAGTTAAGGAAGCTGATTGGCTGACTATGTTAAAGAGATAAGTAGAAAAAGAAGGGAAACAGGAAGTTCTGGGAAGATCACATGATTACAGAAGTACTGAGTCCTGAAAGGGACCAGTGTTATGGACATGGGGGAAAAAAGCCTCTCTTTTATTTTTTACTCCCCTTTTATGGATTATAAATTTGAAATACAGGTAGTCCTTGACTTACGACCACAATTGGGACCAGAATTTCAACCACAATCCTGGCACGTCCCATTGCTGTCCTTAACTAAGAATCGTGGGTCATTAAGTGAGTACCCACCCCAATCCAAGCCATTCTGGGCTTGGCCCCTCCTAGCCCCAAGCCTCAGTAAGGTAAGGGACTGCCTCCAACTCCCCTCACCCACCCATCTCCCCCCATCTCTACCCTTTTGGCTGCCTTGCAGGGTGGCAAGCAACCCCAGAACCACGCAGCTCTGGAACTGCTTGCCACACCCCGGGAAGCTGCAGCTGCCCCAGCCCAGTCCAGCGGCAGTCGCCCTCACCACCATGCACTCAGAGACCCCTGCTGCCCTGCGCACTGCCGCCCCAGCAACCTTTGCTGTCTTCTCACTCCCCTTGCTGGTGAGGCGTTCCCGGCCTGGCTGCTGGGCTGGGCTGGGCTGGGTGAGGCTGGGCTTTGCACTGGGGGGGGGGGGGGGGAAGAGCCAAAAGCAGCTCCTGAACTGCAGAGGGCCAAAAGCCCCTTTGCCTTTGCTGCTTTTGGCATTTTTTTTTTTTTTGGAACACAAAGCCCAGCCCCACTCAGGGGCTCTTTGCAAAGGGGCTGCCTTTGGCTTTCTTTTTTTTCACAGCACAAAGCCCAGCCCCAGCCTGGCCCGGCAGCCAAGCCAGGCACGGCTCAGCAGCAGCAGGAACAAGAAGACAGCAAAGGAGGAAGCAGAGCGGCAGGGGGGCAAAAGATTCTAGATGGAGGGAGTTAGGCGGGGGGGGGAGTTGAAGCACCCCTACGGTCGTGTGGGCAGGCTGCCAAGCGCCTGAATTTTGACTGCGGGGGTCACCACAAGGGCTGTAAGTTTGGGCATGGGTCATAAGTCTCTTCATTCAGTGCCATCATAACTTCAAATGGTCACTGAACAAATGGTCGTAAGTCAACTACCTGTAAAGAAAAATTATTATTGCTAAACAGTGAAAGTTATAGAAGGGAGGAGAGGATTGCTGGCCACTTCAGAAGTATATATTTATGATAGATAAATCCTCTTCTATGAATTTATCTATCATAAACAAATATATGCTTCTGAAGTAGCCAACAATTTCATCGGCCAGCAATATTATTACATGTGTATAAAATGGAGATATACTGAAGTACCCACAGTGGAAGATAAAATAAGTCCTTTTGCACAATACTGAACCTGGACTTTTTGCTGAAGATGGAAAGAGCTAAAATTATTTTTAGAGTGGACGATTGAAAAAGTGTTGAATAAGGGGACAAATGGATTATGGTTATGTTTAAGAGGGAGGAGGGATAATAATTTTGGTTGTAACTGCTGTAATGAATGTTGAAAGTTACTTCTTTAATTATATTTTTTTCTTTTATTTTAACTTGTTTCCTGCAATTTTTCTTTCCTTCTTTCCTTCTTTTATATATTTCTTATTTGTCTTTTATTCAATAAAATTCTCAAGAAAAATTATTTTAAAAAATGTTGGTGTTGACCCTTAGCAACCACATAGGTAGGCCTTCTCCAGGGTACCTGTCCCCAACCTGAGCAATTAGGTCTTCCAGTGGTGCACTCATTGGTGCTGTAATCAAGCCAATTTCCTGCTGGTCATCCTCTTCTCTTTCCTTCCACCTTTCCCAGCATTATAGCCTTCTCAAATAATCTGGGCCTTTAGGCCTGGTCATTTGTGCCTTGATTGAGAATTCTGGATTGATTTCTACTATGATCCATTTGTTTGTTTTCTTAGCTATCCATGGAATTCTTAGGAATCTTTTGCAATGCCAGAGTAATAAAGCATCAGTACTGTACACTTTTTGTCCTGCTCTTCAGTGTCTAACTTTTGCTTCCATAGAGTTTCACAGGAAAAACTTATTACCTGCACAATTCTTTTTATAGGTATAGACACGTCACAGCACCTTTTTCATGACCTACATTTTATCCTACCTAGTGCTATATCTCTTGACTGCTGGTTCTTTTACTGTTGCTAGTCAATTCTAAAAGACGGAAGCTATCCACCACCTCAATGTCCTGTCAATTCAAAGACTGGTTGATGTACCTGTGGCCATTAGTTTGGTTTTATTTTCGTCCCATTTTTTCACTACGCTCCTTGAATCTCATGATTGGACCTTGCAGATGATACATGTTTTTAATGGCATTGGAGAAAAGTAATTGAAACTAGCATATTTGCAGGATAAACACACTGAGAATTAAACACTGACAACTCTGTTCACACATTATGTTAAGCTTTAATGTACTTTTTGTGGGCTTTTTCCTTTTTCATAGTGTAGCATGATGTAAGTGTGCGTCAATACACTGCATGCATTTTCTAGCTGGTGGAATGTAGGGCGTATATGGCTATGATTTCATTCCAATTCTTGTTGCAAATTATATATCATTTATCATGAAATGTGCTTTTTCCCACTCTGCTGTATGAAGGTAAGGTCAATATGTAGGAGAAACAGAGAAGTTGAATGTATGTGAATGAGGTACTTGAGTGTGTGTAACAGGAGAAGAAAAGTCTGGGTCAAAAGTGAATTGGCATTGAATGCACATGGATTGAATAGACAAGTGAGGGGTCAATACAGAACAAGTGCATTGGGGTGGTTTAATCATATAGAACAGGGTTCCTCCCAGGAATTCTGGGAGTTGAAGTCCACGCATCTTCAAGTCGCCAAGGTTGAGGAACCCTGATATAGAATGAGTAAGAGTGAAGGTGTCAAGGGGAAGAAGAGAGAACGTCATGATTCCATGGAATTGATGGGATCTTGAAAAAGAGGTGAGAATGTAAAGAATTAAAAGGTGATATCGGAAGCTATGTATGGACAAGGTAGATGAAAGGATGGTTTGCAAGCACAGATAGGTATTGAGAGGTATAATGGTTGTAAACTAGATTCAGTTATATTTCCTTTCCTTATCTAATTCCTTTCCAATAACTTTTGGCTCACTATTTCTTTGTATAGGTGTAGAAAGGGAATAGCATGATGGATATGTATATATGCATGTAAGAGGTCAATTCTGATTTTTTAAAGACTATGGCTAGAAGGACTTCATGACTGCGTAAGGATTAAAGGCTTGTATCCATGTTCTCCTTTCCCCTGAATGCCTTTTAAGCTCTTCCTGTGCATTTAATTTTTATGCTATCTCCCATCCAGCTCTGTGGAAACCTTATGGATTTATCTGCCGATCCCCATTATACACCACTTGTAAATTTAAAACCAATACGGAGAACACTAATAATTCAATGAACCCATCTTTCCTTAAAAAATAAAACGCACACTTTTTTCTTCCTCCTGAGGGATGGCTCTAGCCAGGAACTGTTCAGTGTACTCGCCAGCCCGAAGGGAAAATAGAGAAAAGGAAGAAATCTTCATTAGAGTCTTGCGTGTTTCGGGCACGCAGTAAATCGATTAAGGCTCGCCTGGGTCTTTCCCGCTTGCGTTCAAGCCTAAAAGCTCCGTCTGGGCTCCCGCCACGCCCTGATCAGACGCGGAGGGGCTTCTGGCCCAGTTGGTGCAAGCGGCGGGGCCCTTTAAGACCTAGAAGAGCTGGACGCCGCTTCCAAGCAGCAGTTTCTCGCTGGCGACCTCTAGAAGCGGCCCCTTTGAAGAAGCCAGAAGAGGTGGGGCCCAGCCGGCAGGAGGATTGCTCCGGAGCCGCTCGCCCTTCGCTGCGCTTGCATTATGAACGCTGTACGCCACTGGCTTTCGAGCTGGGGAGAAATAGGAGGGCCGGCTTTGAGCGCGCTCTGGATGTCAGAGGAAACTTCCTGCAGCCAGCTCGGAGGTGCCGGGCGCTTCTCTGCCGGTTCCGATGGATGCGCAGCGTATGCGGAGAAGTAGGAGCGAGGCAAAAGATCCTAGGTAGATATTAGAGGGCGGCCACGGAGATGGGGTGATGGTCCTTTTTTGGCGGTGAAGGCTGATTTCTTGATTTTCATGCCTTCTACTTTCAACAGCACAAGCATGATGGCAGGCAGAAAACCAGCTGGTTAGCAGTGGATTTATGAATAATCACCAGTTGAACGCTTGTATTACTGGTCTTTACTGAGATTGAAGACAGATACTGTATTTTGCGTTATTGAGTGCTGTTCTCCTTCCTTGTCTTCCTTCTGATTGCAAGCTACCTTGAATATTTTATGGAAATGTCTTAAGGAAGGGCAGGCTGTGACTGTGTTCACTTGCTATACTGAAACAAAAACAAACCATATTTTAAGGAGTTTTCTGTACTTCTCTGCTATTATTTAGCTGTTGTCTGAATTTTTGCAGCTTGGATATAGTAAACCCATTTTAACCCAGGGAGAGTGTGGTTAGTTTGTTCAGTGTGTTACTACAAATTGAGAATAAATTGTTAATTGACTGAAGTTTGATCTAGTTAATGATTGGCAAATGTACACTGCTTATAAACTCTGTGTGTGTGTGTAAGCCATATGTACATAAGAAAGGTGACAGCTACACAGTTGAACTGAAATCATCAGCAGATCTAACTAAAGAATAGTTAATAGAGAATGTAGATGGCTCTGTGGTTCTGAAGCATTTTTCTTGGTCAGGAAGGCTGGGGAGATAGTAATAGTATGGCTTGCTTACAGTCAATGACCACTTTTAAGTCCTACTCCATGTCTAGAGTTATGGAAATAAGAATGAAAGAAGCCAGGCAAAATGCACAGAATAAAAATCAAGTGTGTTAAGAATAAACCTAAAATGCAGAAATAGATGCAAAGCGTATCAAAGGGTAAAGTTGCAGAGACTGTTAGCTAGTAAATAAGTATAATCCTATATTTTATTATCATAGCCTAGCTGGAGAGATACCTTGATCATAGATAAGACCAGGGTATCTTGAATTGCTCTTCTTGATGAGTCATTTGACTGAGAAAGAGAATCAGAGCCGTTCAGGTAGGACTACTGGAAGAAGTAGACTATATTGAGCTGTAACATTTGGGGTGGGTTCTTTGCAGTCTTGGCTGCTGGGATGTGCCTGGCATGACAATTATGAAGTGGATAAACATTGGTAACATAATAAATGTACTAGGCGTTAAGTTATAATTAAATTGGTAATTGTTTCTGCTACATATGAACACAGCAATTTTCTGGGAATTTGGATTCAGGGAGCGCCTGATAGCTGATTAGCATTATTAAAACTAAACCATATAATCTCATCAGTAAATATCAGTATGTTGTAGCCTTTTTTAAAATCACCCTCACTGTCTGGAAAGGGGCTGAAAGTCATGTAAAAGCCTCTATATAGGAGCCTGGTATAATGTAATGTCTGTATCTCTCTGCCCCGAGAGTTTAGGGGAAGCCATAACGTCAGTTTGGCTGCTAATCCGAAGCCAAGAAAAACAAAGCTTGCTGCCAATTTCCTTTATCAGAGCAACCAAATATTGGCTGCAAAAATCTGGAGGATCACCAGATGGCAGCAAAATGGAACAGAAAGCAACTCTTTGCTGCCATCATGTGATTGTTCGGATTTTTGCAGCCCAGATCTGGAGCCCTAGTTTTCTGAGATGTGAACTACAGCTTTTCACTCACTTCTCAAGGCAGGTTACTAGGTACAGATAGCTGTATATAGCCTGTTGATGTCAAGTCAAGGCAGGGGCGCCCTACTAGCCTGCAACTATTGTAGATGATCAGGGTTCCAGTTCTCCCTGCTGGGCATGTGGAGAAGGGAAGGAAGCTCTAGGAATGCCTCAAGTCTCTTCAGAGAATGCACAGTATGTACAATTTAAGTGGGGTATTGACATCAGGAAGTTTCTCTGTAATAATTCCCCAAACAAAGTACCATACTTAAATATTTGCAAAAGGCAAGAGGTATAAATTTGTTCCTGGTTTTCTTTATATGTAGAAAATAATTTAGTAATAACTGCTTTAATGGAGAGAAAAGGGTTTGATAATTATTTATTAATAATACTTTAAATAACACTAAGATTGATTTCCAGTATTTTTTAATTCACCTCCTCTTGTATTGGTACCCCATGACAGCAGTAATGGGGTATCAATACAAGACGAGGTGAATTAAAAAATACTGGAAATCAATCTCCTTAGTGTTATTTATTGTAATGGGGATACTGCAAGGAGGTCAAATAAGTCAATATGGGATCAATGATCATAGTCAAAGCTCCACCTTTTTGTGTGTGCATTGCGTAGTCATGGCCACCATATTGGATTATTTTGACTCACCGCTTAGATGCCCCTGATCTCTATTGCCACAGGGACCATGGGCAGTAAAGGCTCCCTAGACCAAGCCTCGGGGTATTTAGGAATGAGCAATCAATAAACACTAGTGCTTTTGCCAATGGTTTGGTCAAAGCCTTATCAGTTCATACTTTCAAACTCAGTTACCACAGTAATTTGTAGAATCTAATCTGCAGTCTTTTGCAAAGTAGGAGTAAGCAAAGATTGCCACCCCAAATGTAACAAGTGAAAGTAATAATTTGAATCAGTGTTTTGTTTTTTCCCAAACTTGGCAACTTTAAGATGTGTGAACTTCAACTCCCAGAATTCCCCAGCCAGCATTTCTGGGAGTTGAAGTCCACACACCTTAAAGATGCCAAGTTTGAAAAACACTGCTTTATCATTTAGGGCTGGCCTTTTCCCAGCCAGCCTCAATGCAGCAGGAGAGGATGAACTGTGTGTAGATAGCCACCCAGTCCCTGCTTAAATATCTCTAGCGAGAAGAGTCCTTCACCATCTTCAGACTATTCCACTAATTAATCAGGATTTGTATTAAGAAGTTTCTCTCCTGATCATTTCCACCCATTATTTCTAGTCCTGCCAAGCAGAGCAAGAAAGGTGTAAAAAAGGATTCTTCAGCAATTAAATTGTAGGTAATGCTGTATAAAAAGGATGGATTTTAACCTCTCATCATCTTGAAATCCCTGCTCCCTTTGGTACAACTGGATTCATATCAGTATCACTCCTTAGTTGCAGTGCCCTACTCCTCCACTTACTGTGAGGTTGCATTCCTATGCCCATTATCCTGAACGTAAGTTCCATCCAATATTGGGGGATTAAAAGTAAAGATAACACTCCTTGGCGATAATTGGCATACTATGGAAATGATTTACTGTTCCCTTATTCAGGGATTTTTTTTTTTTAACCATAGTGCAATACTTAAAATGATTGGACTGTTAAGCTGAAGTACAGATGACAAAAACAATATACCTTTTTTGGCTATCAGTCCCCTATCTTCTGTTTTCCTTGGGTCAGTATGATTGGATCCAAACTGGCCATGCCAAGAATGGAGGAGTGCTTCTATTTACAAGAAAGCAGCAAGATTCGGCATAAATTCCCAGCGGGAGGAAAGAGGGTAGGAAGTGATACAGTATCCACTTATTCACTCCTCACTGTAACCATTGCACCGCCTCTTGTGCTGTGCCAGAGAACCCTTGTCCTCCAATTCATTTTCTCCTGAAAGGTTGAAACTTTGTTAATCAGCATTCTGGATCCAACCCAGTTAATACTGAAAGTAAAATAAATAATGCAATTCATACATTATATACAATCAATAATATAAATATGAATTATAGTGACATTAAATGTGATTCATAGTTCCAAACTTTATATTACATGTCTTAAGGCTGATGGATCCAAGCTATTTAAGAGTTCAGCTATAGCAAAGTTCTACTTTTATCTAGCAAGTCATTTATTAGACTCCAACTCACTCTGCACATTCTGGAAGACTGAGACAGTTTGGGAAGCAGCTTTTGGTCCGAAAAAATCACTGAGAATATTGTTCCATCTATACAGAGGTAGAGAGAGACAGATGCCCAATTTATTGCTTAATTGAGATGTGTGAGTATCTGTGTCTAGTCTGAACTTGCTGCCAGCTTGCAAAGCACAGGAGGAGATGTGGGGCTATGAAATGTTAAATAGGCCTTGGTAAAAGACAGGCTATGCAAGAACCAATTTTAACATGTTTATTAATGCACTGAACTATTCATAAGTTTTAAGTGGCCATAAAAAAGAGAGAGGGTTGATTCTTCGTTTTCTTTCTCATTTTGGCAGTCATGAACCAGTTATAGATATAAGGTTATTGCTAAAAGTGGTCCTGTAAGCTAAAATTGTTTTGGTCCTTGGAGGGAATATTCTTCAACTGTGCAATCTAAGAGTTTTCTCATTTAAAGAACAGAGACATCAATTGATTTTGATTTGATCTAATTTATAAGGAGCTGTGCCTTGTGCTTTTAAATTTTTTACTTGAAAACAGCAGTAGCATATATCATTTTGTCCTATTTATTCCATTTTAGGTGAAGTTATTACTATTAAATATAAATAGGTGGTTAAACTGTACTTTATTTTAAAAATATAGCATAGATGCTTTGACTCTTAATCTAAATTAAGCACAGTTTCTACTAGAACTACAGCATGCAGTGATTGGGGCTCAATCACCAACAGCCATGAGTCTTGTACAATTCAATGAAAACATATCCAAATTGCTATGCTTTAAATTGACTTAAAATCTACTATAGAGAACCAGTGTGGTGTAGTGGTTAAGGCATCAGGCCATAAACCAGGAGACCATGAGTTCTAGTCCTGCCTTAGGCACAAAGCCAGCTGAATGACCTTGGGCCAGTCACTCTCTCTCAGTCCTAAGAAGGAGACAATGGCAAACTACTTCTGAAATCTTGCCAAGAAAATTGCAGGGGCTTCTCCAGGCAGCCACCAGGAGTCAACACTGACTCGAAGGCACACACACACACAAAATCTACTATAGTCTTTAGATATACCTTGTAACTAGACTGTAGAACTCTACAAATCATTGTGGAGTAGTACATATACTACAGAGCTGGACCATAGAAATATAGGTGCAGTTATTTACTTCTTCATGACACTCGCAAAGTCACCAGTTACTGCATTTCATAGGC